GGGAGGGGACAGCAGAGGCCGGTGGGGCTTGAGCTCCTGGGCCGGGTGCGGAGCAGGGTGGGTACCCATGGCTGGAGCAGTGGTGTGGGCAGATGGTGTGAGGGGAAGGGTGCCTGGGGCCGGGAGCTTGTCCCCAAGGGCAGGGCTTGGGAGCACCAGCCACGTGCACAGGGAGGGGGGCAGCAACAGGCTGAAGGGAAGAAGCACAGAGAGTATGGGGTTTGTTTGGGGTGAATGAGGAGGTTAATGCAGCGGGCGGGGAAGTGAAAATTGCATGGGCTGGAACCACCTGATTGCTCTGTGGGAAATAACAGCTGGAATTGCGGGTAGATGATAAGCTTGTAACATTGTGGAAGCTTGAGGCTGGGTTTGGAGTGGTCATTTAATGTGAAGGAATGCATGGGGCAGGATGGTTGGCTGGGTGAGCTCCTAGAGGGTGGGAGGATGGATCTGCCTGCAGTGCAAGTGTAAAGGGGCTGTTTCTTTTGAAAACAGAGCTGCTGAAGAAAGGATTTTGTTAGGGTAAGGGGAGAGATGAGGATGCTGTAGGAATGTTAGGGGGAATGGGAAGGACCTTGCTTATTCCCAAAATGTTGGCTGCAGTCCCAATACTGACCAGGGTGGTTTAAATCCAGACTATGCATTCCTAGGTATCTGGCAAATCTTCCCCATTAAAGGGGCAGAGTGATAAGATATATTGCTGCAATTTTTAATATTATTATAGTGGTGTTTATTTTTGTAGTGAGTTGCCTGCCCCACTGAAAGCAGCTGCCTTAAGAAGTGCAAGGGTGAGTAGAGCAGTTACTGCAATTTCACACTGTAGTCAGCTTCACATACACAGCCCTCCTCTTCTATACTTCTTGGTGGTTCTTGTTTCCTCAATGTTCTTTGCTTTTTTCCTCCCCACTCTTAAAGAAGGGTGTGTGGTACAAGATGAAGAGCCCCATTATTCTGAAATATGGTCAAGTTATTTTTCGGGGGTAGAGTAGAACTTCCTTCTTGAAATTCCAAGGCTTCATGTGTGTCAGAATGAGTTTCCATTTCAAAAGGGGTAGCTGAACTCCGACCCACCTGTGATGACTGCATGTCTCTCTGGGTACACACTGAACCATTGGCTTCATATTGCAGCCTCCCTTTGTCCTGGGTGTCCAGTTAATAGCTCAATTTGAGGTGACCCTCGGCAACTGAAAAAAGTATTTGGGAGAATGAGGCTTCCCTTGCTGGGAATTCATTGTTTTTCAGTGTAGTGCTATTTCAATATTTAGAGCTATTACAGAATAAATAGAAGGAGCAGTATGTGCTTGTGCTTGCTAAACTTCTCGACACTCATTTGTTAGATCTCAAAATTGCTCATCTGTTTGTATCCTGTGTAATCTACTCAAACGTGATTGACCATGCTCTTTTTGGTATCATCCATTTCCTGGGTTACTGTGGCACTTTGTTTCCTAAAGAGCTAGGGAACCTGCTGGGATTTGACACATGCTGAAAGAGATCCTTCTTCAAGAAGAAGGAAGTTACAGAGTCAAAGTACTTAGGAAGCCTTTGAATCTGTTTCCTAGCAGAATGCTCTACAGAAAACTTTTTCCTCAGTGTAACCATAACTTTCCTCTAAGTTTGAAGAGAACACTAGAGTAATGAAATAATGACAAGGTGCTCTGTAGCTTTTGTCAATAATTAAATACTGTGCAAACAATCTGCTTGCTGCTTTTAGAGAAACCATGCCATTTTTGGGCCAAGACTGGAGATCCCCTGGATGGAGATGGGTTAAAACTGCAGATGGATGGAAACGATGTGAAACCTTCAGTCCCCCAACTGAAGATGGGAATAGTCAGCTTAGTGACATCAGTCCCACTGTGTAAGCTCCGAAACACGATTATCTCGGGGGATAATGGATGAGAAGGCAAAGATTGACTTAATTTGCTTTCATACTGGGAATGCTGTAAGACATGATCTTGTTGGCATATATAGGAAGCATAAAAGCACAACGGTGTGATTTATTTAACTAGGCAGGTTGGATGCTTCTCTAGACTCTGTTTACCTAAGCTTACACCCTAGGCTGTGTAGAGAGCTTTACTATTTACAGTAGGAGAATTGCTTCATGAATTATTTATGTGGCAAACCAGATGCCATACTTATTTTTTTTTAAAAAAAGGAAAATAAATCAATTACTACTTAATGATGAATGTGATCTTTTGCATTTGGAACTATAAAAATGCTTATTGAAGTTTGCTGATTGTTTAACACATATGAGAATATATGCCCTTGTAGAACAGTTAAGAATTATATTGGAGAATAAAGTAAAGCATACTCGTAGCAGTTACTATAGACTGATATAAGTGATTTGTCCAGGCAATTTCCTA